CTTGAAAGTTTTCTTGCCGAGGGGAGTTGACATCAGCTGCAGCTGCGAAATTCAAAGTAAAATGACCCCGACAACATGGATGAGGGGAGAAGAAATGTTTTAATTAGAACAATTCCTAGTATTTTAATTATAAAATCTGAACCTAAGATAGCGCTTGGATAACTCGGGCTCAGAAGTGAAGACAATATTCAGAAGGGTATTCTTAAAGTGATATGTCAAAATGGTGAATGGATTAAGGTGAGTCCACTGGACCTAAGTTCTCCCAGCTACGTCTAATGTCGATTTCCAGTGGCAGTTTTTAATTTCATTTGTTAGTGTCGAAGATAAGACTGATGACGTCTTCTCTGTTTGCGTCCACAGAATCACTTTGATGATCGGTTTCTACCAATATCCCAGACGTCGTCTTCATACTCGCCATGAGAACCTGAAATCTCGCCTTTATTTTCGCGACGTAATATTGAACACCGCTAACATTACTAGTAAAACAAGAAATCCCTCTATTTTTTTTTATTTTACATTATAAACTCTGCTGGGGACTCGTGTGTGATCGGATAACATCCTGAGTAAAATCAGTTTCACACGTTTAACTATCCAGTTGCTTGTTAAAATTCGTAGGATTATCGTCTTTCCGCGTTTTCGATTTTGTACGTTGCTGCTTTGTTAAAGTTATCTCCATCAAAATTCTTCAGGCAACTTATCGTTCAGCCCATTCGAGAGCCACGTGTAGGTTTAAGCCACCTTGAAGTTCTTTGTGATGAGCTTTATAGGAACCACACCAATGCCTCACCAGCCTGTAATTAGATTTTAAAAGGCTAGTTTTCCGTTTCCTTTGATCCAGCCTTGATGTCGTGATGTGATATCCTCTTCTCGGAGTCATAAAAGTACCCGCAAGATTCTTTTCGGTCTTGTCGAACGGTTTTAACGTCGCTGGCTGGAGTGTAAGGGGAAGTCAGTGGCGGAGACACTTAAACGAAATCCATTTTTCAGTTTGTGAAGCTGGAACGTCATGCTTCAAGTCTTGCCAGTTAAGTTAGGTTTATGTCGGTGGTTTTCCTGTTTCCGGTTAAACGTCCAATACGTGAATAAACAATTGTGATTATATAACTTTGTAGAATTACAAGTTTGAATTTCTTACTCGTTTTTTAAGAGAGTTTCGCAACACGGCATCTGCCATGTTGACTTAAAACATGGCTGTTGTAATAATCGAATTGCATGTTCCGGGAACTGAACCAGAAGAATCAGCTTTACGAACACGTGTTCCTCGGTTTCTAAGGAACCCTTGAAGACTACGACCTGTTAGTCTATCCAAATTATTGCAGTCAGTTTCTCAAAGATCGTTTTAAATATTATAATCTCTCTGCTTGTTGGCCACGTTACCAAATATGTATGCTTTCTTTGGTATATCTTTGCAGTACTAACAGGTAACGTTCCAAGAAATATGTCGCAAAAATTACAGATCATTCAGTAAGAGACGCAAACTCATTTTACTCTGAATGCAATCGCCAGTAGCAGCTGGGTATTGCTGTGTAACCACAATCTGTTGGTTTGCCTGACCTGGAAAAGAGGGCAGATTTAATTAAGCGTTGGTGAAGGAAGAGAGGCTATGCCCCGGTGAAAGCCAGCAAAATATTGTCAACGATATCTCCCTTTTGTGGTATAACTCTTAAATCCGCGCCATGTAGATATTATGAGGAAAAGAGAATGATTTCAATTTACCGCCAGCCCAGTTTTGACGCCAATGTAGACAATGCGTGGCGCTGTAACGGGGTTAGACTGTGCATGAAATGAACTTCTGGTACATGGCGAATCGTTTGGAAGGAAGATGTTCGGCGGCTGAGTCATCACGTTGTAATGCTGCTCCAAGCAGTTTTACGACGGCAGAACATCTCGGTAAGTGCCTCTGTGACGAGGCCGGCGTGGAAATCAGGCGAGTTGTGAGGAGTCGACGGGATGTTGTTCTTGTTAGATAATCGATTGTTTTTAAGCGTTTTGATTAATTGCATCCCGTTGCTGAGTGTTACCTGTTGCATGTACCATTCTGCCGCCCGAATCTCTTGTGGCCCAGACGCGTTTCGTCGGGGGTGTAAAATACGACTTGAAATTGAAATGATAATTATGCAAGGAATTCGAGTGAAAGTAAGCTGTGATTTCACTTCATTGTGTTTGTTTCTTTAATATTTTGCAAGCGTTTCTTTGGCGCGGTGAAGCCAGGTGGGTGGGGCTGAGTAGACTTTCTACGTCCGCAAATCTCCTATTGGAGCGTTGTCTAGGCCTGAAAGGCATTTATGAACAAGTTAGGTTGTTTTTTTATCGTGAACGCGTCGTGACTTGTATTTGAGAGTGATCTGTTTCGAATTTGCCCTCAGTTCGTCGGATTTACGTTTGACGCTGATTTATGTAATTGTTACAGGATAAAAAGATTTTGTTGGTGTTTAAAAGTGCTGTTAAGGTCAACTGATCTGCAAGCAGTCGGATAGATAATGGACTTGTCAGGTGAAGGAAGACTGGGAAATTGCTTGCGGCTCGAACACCGTCTTCTGTTCAGGAATAAATTCGGTGTTGTCATCACTCACTCACTATTCTGGTCAGGCCTCCTCTGTGTACAGCTGCTGACAAGGAGCGTTTTTCTCTCTCTCTCTCTTTCACGAAGAGGTTCTAGCGGCGTTCGTTTGGTTAAAAGTCGTGCTTTGCCCCCTTGTAATTCGCTGCCGTTGTCATGTTTTCTGGATAGATGTATTTCTTATTTGATACTCCTGCCGTGCAATTTGAAATTAGACCCGCAGAATAATTGCTTTAAACATGTTCTACGTTTAACTACCTTTATCTCCTATTTGGATACCTGTAATCTCTGAAGAAATCCAAGTTGGGCATCGAGTTTCGAGCTGATATTCATGTGTATTTATTCCCACCTTCTGTGAGCTTTTGTTTCTTGGCTTTATCGTGTTCATGAATTTTTATTTCCTCATACTATTCTTTTACGTCCCACGGATGGATGGTGTGGTAATGCCTTTTTATTCCGGGACTTTCACTTTTTTACTTTGTCCGGAAATAGTGGGCCCAACTGAGTAGGAACCTGAAGACTGAGATAGAGCCCCATCTCCGAAACGTCGTTTTACGTTTTATATTTACTAGACGATGGATAATATCCAAAAATTTTATTCAATTGACTCTTCACCATCGTCAAGAAGTTTTAGATTTGTTTAACTACCTGATGACGTATTAAGCTCTTTATGTTGTAAACCAAGGTTTCCTTTTCAACCCTTTGTACAAGTAGTAAGTGATATGTGATTCATTTTGCGGGTGGTTGGTAGCATTTCAATAAATTGTTATTAAGTTTCAATAAATTGCTTAATTTATATTTGCGCGGCCCGTTATTAGGTAAATAAGGATGAATGTTGAACCCACATCTTAAAAGGTGGTAAAATGTATTGCAAACATTAAAGTGAATTATTTTGAGACGTATCAAAGGAGTAAGGGATGACATTTGTAACAAGACAGGCAGTTTCTTTAATTTTAAATGGAGGTGAAAGTTAGAATGTTAGTGGGATTAAATTAGTTGCAATGTTTCTAAATCTGAAGTGTGGTGAACTAGCATTGAAGGTGAAAATGGAAAATAATTGTCCAGTAAATGTAAGGACAGAATTGTTAACCCACAGTCGCTGTCTTCCAAAACACGTTCTCTCTCTAGAATATACCGAAGTGACAAGGCGTGCGCTGCAGTATTGACAAACCTGTTCACTGTAACCATCATTTGAATACGTATCCTTGTTGAGAAATGTCCCCCCCCCTTTCCAATAGACTGGCTTTCACGAAGAACAGTAATTTATTGCTTAGGAGAATGCCAGTACAGTAGCTTTGTAACAGCTGCAGACAGTTCTGATAAGAGGGATGGCTTTTTATCTCTCTTGTAGATCGCGCTTTCAATAGGTCGTTTGTTTCGGGATGGCCTGTACGAAAATGACACTTATAATAATTGCGCAAGTCATCCTCGCTAACATTCAAGGTCTTGGGAAATTATTACCTGCAGGTGCCAAATTCCGTCTGGAGATTTGGGACTCTGCAGTGCCCTTAAGACTAGGCAGCTTGGCGACTGGTAAGGGTAAACAAAGCTGTGATTGTGCTTAGCACCGTCACATAAGGGCGTGAATCGATGTTCAACCCTAAAACGTCGGTGTCCACCTGCAGATCCACACGACGTCACAACCTAATGACCGTCATCGGTAACTTCGCCGCGGCATCAGAACTTAAACTTCGTGTGAGATTTTGAACTTTACGGCAGTCTCTGCTGGCAGACGCTGGGATTGTAACTTAAAGTAGACCACGACCTCTCACTTTCATGTCCTTTCAGCCAGCAGTTCGTAATCGTATTTGGAAAAAAAAATTGTTGAATCAAGAAATGAACGAATTTGGTAGAAATTTCGTGAGCATCAGATACGTGCTGGAGGCGCCAGTGAAATGATCCCGACGTTGCTGTCGAGGAAGGAGGTTGGCCGTTCATTTCGCGGTCGGATTTATCAGAAATCGTTTGACACCGACTTTTATAAAACTGGGCCTCCACTGAGTTTTCCGAAAAATCCAATCCGGTCCTGACGAGCACTGGCCTTGTGCTTCCAAGGTCAGGGTCACGTCCGTGCAGGTTTCGATCTCTCCGAGGTGTTAAGGGAGATGCCGCAAGCAATCGGACGTGTAGGGGAAGGTTACTAGTAGAAGGAGGCATTCTCCTCTCTCTCTCTCTCTCTCCCCTCCTTGTCGCTGATAATGGATGCTGCGTCTTGTTGCCTGCACGTGCCCGCATGTGTTGCGATTTGGGTGATTCTGATATTGCACCGTGTTGCTGTTCTGGTAATGTTCGCACCTCTTCCAGACCCGGTGGACCTCCGAAACGTTGGTGAACATCTACCAGACCACACGGCGCAACGACACGTAAGACAGGAATCTTCATACTCGCCGCTGTGAAATCCTCAGATCATGAAATGAATTTGTTTTTTTGTTTGTTTCAGGTGAACAGTCGGAATGAGTGGGAGTCGCTGGTGGAACACTTCTCCCTGCCCAAACAATGCGCCAACTGCGGAGTGGGGCTTAAGCAGATCTACCTCAGGTCAGCATCAGATAAATTAAAGCATGACGTAACTTCATTAATAATGTTCGTGGGGCAATGAATGCAAATTACGCCGAAGCTGTGCTTGTGACATGACGGAGAATGATTCGTGTTAACCGCGTTGGCCCGGCTAACACTGACAAGAATAATGTCTCCTGTCTTTCGTGGTTCAGTGGTACTCCATACACTGGAACACAGCAGAACAGATCATATAAAATGCACTGTTAGCCAGTTAGTTGTGGCTTACACTCGCTCATAACCGCGGCCAAAATAAAATTCTCCTCCGTTGGGACGTTCAGTGTAACCAGAACCTGTTTGCGCTGATTGACCTTGATGTGTATTTTGTGAATCATCCGCCACATTAAACACGCATTCCAACAAGGTTAACTATTGTATAATATTAAAATTGATGGTAAGGAAGTACGATTTGAAAAGTGGATTATCTGTCAGGAAAGGTTTATATTAGCGTTCTTGTGGGATACGCTGTCGGGTTCCCAGGAAATTGTTTGTTGGTTCCTGCAGCTGACAGGAAGAGCGCCTTGTTCCTCGAAGACTTTATGTCATTCATGGTGATTTCTTGTATCAAGACATGATGTGCCGTGTGACGAAACGTCCATGGTCCGTAGTAACCACGCTGACCGTGGTACCACAGTATTAACGCCTCTGACGGATGTCAATAGTGCCCTTGTTTTGTGACACCGTGTGCTCGTAGGAGATTACCGACGTTTCGGTAACCACCTACAAGATCACGCGGTGTCACAACCTAAAAGAACGCAATCTATGTTTTACCTCCGTGAGTTCCTCAAATCCCAGCGGTTACGTATTTATGAGGCACCGGGTGTGTGTGTGTGTGTAACCAACCTCGACCAGATTATGGACTATCCTGGCTGAAGGTTTCCGTTAATTTCCTGTGTTTTCAGGCGAAACCTATCACTTCCTGTGCGCTCCACGAAATTGTAATCTGACCTCATTCGACGCTACGTGACTTCACTGTTAAAATGTAATATTATTCCACCGCCTGATTAAGAAGTATCATGCCACGAGGACGTATGGAGGAGTGGAGATTTAGTTCCATCAATTCTTAGCCATTGGAAGAACTTGTAAAAGATTGTGAGATTCATACTGTGTCCCGTGGACTGAATGTGAGAAGGAAGTTAGAAGTCTTAACCTAGAACCAGATGGACGTGAATGATCAGTTTAGTGTTAGGATGCTCAGTGCGTCTCAGAGTCGATGTGGTGTCATTATTGATCCAGAACCATTAGCGCTTCTGGAATTCTGCAGACTGTTTCTCATAATTGCAGTGGTAGTAACAACGAAGGGCAAGATGCCATCTCTGCATCGCACCCGAGATTTTCTCTTGTGTGTAATCGTGTGTAGGTAGACGTCTCTCGATGGGCCGATCACTTCCAAGGAGTCATGTAGCTCGTGTAGAAAATAGTGGTCTAGCGGTTAGAACGCTGGCCTTGTAATCCTGGGGTCTCGGGTTCGATTTATAGCTTGTGTTGGGCAAGGCCGTGGTCTAGGCAACACGGAGTTTTCCTCCGGGGGCTTCCCCGGTTTCTCCGTGGCATCCCAACAATTACTCCATTCACACACAGAAGAAGGCAATGGCAAACCACTTCTGGATCATCTGCCAAGAACGTATATGAACAGGTACCAGTC